CGGTGATGGGCACTCTGCAGCTAACAGGCCGGGCCTCATGGGGACAAGCAGTAGGCGTGGCCCCGTACCAGCCTAACCGGTGCACTCGTGCGGAGCTAGGACTGGTGCCGGGAGGCTCTCCCAGTCCTTCCCTGGGAGACAGGGTGGCGGCTCCTCCTGGGGGCCACTGCTCGGCCCAAGGCCCTGAGGCTGCCACGGACACAGAGCTCTCAGACCACCGGGCTCAGTGCGGGAGCCGGGCCGCACTCCTGCTCTCTCCGCCAGCTGTCCAAAGCCTCCTCCGGACCACCACCCAGCATCAGCAGGGCAGAGGAGGTGATGCGCACCAAACTGTGCCGTTCAAGACAGGACGGTGACCGCAACCCGGCCATCCCCAGAGCCGGGCCTCGGACTGCATTTGATTCCCCAGTGCCACCTGCACAGAGGACAATAAAACATGTGTTGCATAAATGAGGCTGTAGAGACCCCTGGGCATCAGAAGGCTTGGCTTTATAGCCCTCGTGCCCAAGCCACGTACCCACACGTGTGGGTCACACATCTGAAGACAGGCAGGGAGAAAACTGGCCGGACAGGCCCCCTGCAGGCCCCGCCCCGGGCCCCGGAGCGGGCAGCAGGCTGACCAGGCCCCCGGGAGGTCGGATGACGAGACCACGGACACAGCACCAAAGCATCTGGTGCTCACAACTGAGAGCTCGGAAGCACCGGCCACACTCCACAGGTCCGGGTGCGGGCTCAGGGTGGCCTCACGGGGGCTGAGGCCACTGGAGGAGGCGGACTGGCCCGCAGGTCTGTCTTCTGAAGGCAAGGTTTACAAAAGTCTACGTGAAGCAGGCTACACAGGGCGAGGAAGCAGGAGGTAAGAAATGGATGAGATTCGCCAACACGGCCCGTGAGCAGCCAACGCCACAAACACACGGAAGTAACAACAGCAAAAACCGCCCGGCGCTCTATTTCCCGACCAGCCGAGCTCCCTGTCCAGCAGCCACCTGCACACGGGTCACAGGGAGGGGGCAGCACGTGACCACCGCGGGGGATCACCACACTGCAAAACCATCGTAGACTCACGTCTGGGCGAGGCAGACATACCCGTGAAAACGGCCCGTACGTGCACCACCCCTCCCCAACAGCCGTGGAGCGTTAGTGCCTCAAATGGCCTATTTGTTTGAGCTTCGCCCCCGCCCCAGCCCTGCAAGGTCTCCAGGTCTGGCCGAAGGCCATCTGTCCACGTCCCTGTCCCCCACGGCTGCCCGACGCCCACAGACCCAGCGGACGATGCACGCCGGGGCCAGGAGGTCTGCTGACAGACACGGTCCGTCCTGACCCCGTGGCACCGGGATGCGGGGCGCCTCCTCGAGGGCCACCCTCTCCAGCCGTGGTACAAGCTCTCACGGTCTCTTCCCAGAGGCGGAGGATGGAGAGAAAGACCCTTCAGTAGGTCTCCGCCCAGGTGTGGGTCCGAGAGACACTCTTCTCCTGTCGAGGACTCCTCTCTGAGTGGCGGGGTCTCTGTTTCTGGGAGACGGGGCCAGGCCCGAGGCTGGACACCAGGCGGCCGAGGCCGCAGGCGGGAGCTCACCCAACTGAGCCACTTTGCTGAACAAAAGACACCACCCACAACCGAAGACCAGTGGTGGTTTGGGGCCTCTTCTGCTTCTAGCAGTGGAGCTGCAGTCGCCCCAAGCACGTAGAGGGGGGGCCCAGGCAGCCACGTAGACGGGCGCCCACTGTCCGATTCCCTTTCGGCCTCTCATGTGCCACCACATCGGTTTGCCTTCTCGGGGACTTTCTAAGAATAATCAGACGGACCGCTGTCAAACCCGCGGCCTTCCCGGGCCTAGCGTCACACGTCCTCTTTCAGGGCACAACCAAGCACCTCGTGGGCCGCCTTCTCGGGAAACCCCACCGTATGGAGACCCTCAGAGAGGAGAGAGGGGACCCCGAGGCCAGGGCCCTACAGGCAGGGGAAGGGGTGCCCCGGAGCACAATTCATCCCGGCGCGGTCCATTCACTTGTCACTATCACTTTCTCAGGTGGCTCCGACGACGACGGCCGGAGAGCACGGCTCTCTCCGGGGAGGGGAGAAGGAGGCGCCCCTTCGGCTCTGAGGTCAGAGCGGATGCTGGCAGCCTGACGCCGACGCAAAGCCAATGAACTGGAAGGAAACCCGAGGTGGAGCCGCCAAAAGCCCACGCGCAGACCCTGCAGATGCTTTTATTTCGTTTGGCCCCCTGGAATCTGCACGCCACTTCCTCTCGCCGCCTCCTCTCAGCCCCGGCGCCCCAGCCACACGCTGGCGGGAGGTGGGGGAGGCCGGGAAGGGGCTCTGGTCCGGAACCCAGGGACTCTGCCCGGCTCTGAGATCCCCCACACCAGACATCCGCGGTGCAGAATCCACACCAGCCCGAGGACGCTGGGAAAGTAAGGGGCCCGCCCTAGGACCTAAGTGGCCTAGGAAACAGTCCAAACCAAAAGGAAGCAGAAAGCACAGCCTCCTCGCCCTCGCCCTCAATCCAAGGAAGACAGAATTAAAGGACACAAAATTACAACCATGAGCATCGGGGAAACAGCACCGCTAGGGAGACAGGTGACAGGCCCGCCACCGGCCCAAGCCCGTGACCGTCTCCCCCATGGCATCCACGGCGCGGAAGCACAGCAGACCCCGGGCCTGAGGACCGCGGGTCCCGCCGGAGTTCGGAAGGGAGACTCCCCACGGGTATTTGCACAAGTCGGGGACAGCGGAACAAGGGTCCCCTCGATGGTAACGCATGTGTTTCCGTTAACGGTTTTTGAAAACCGAGTTACGCTTTACGATAAGGAAAAGAAATGCTGTTCAAGGAAGTCCGGAAGCATAAAGTGGACGAAAAGCAAACGAACGAGGGAGAAAGGGCCCGGCGCCAGAGCGCGTGCTGCCTGCCTAAGAAGGGGCTTCGGGCTGGGGCCACCGCGCCAGGGGCCCGCGCTCTCACCCAGGCCGGCGTACGTCCTCCGCTTGCTCAGGCTGGCGGACTTCACCAGGAACATGCAGGACTGGTGTGTCATCCAAGAGCAGAAAACCAAGAGCAGGGCCCCCAGGACAATGCCACACTGGAGGGTTGGGAGAAAAAGAGACAAAATAAAGCCAGCCGGTACTGTGGCCTCACGCGCGTGGCTCCCGAGAGCCCTCCCCGCCTCCCTCCGCTCTTGCTGATCCAAGACCCCGGCTCTGCCTCGCTTCTCTATCCACGGGTGACAATTCCTAGCGCTGACAGGGACCGATTCCCCACGTGTGGCGGCCACATGCGTTGTGGCCCTGAAAGAGTGCCACGGACACCACTTCCTCGGTGGCCTCTCCGAGTCTTAATGAATAGCCAGGTGCCGCCAACGGGCAGAGCCCCCAGTTCTCCGCGTGCGCCCCGCAGTTCGCCACCTTCTAGCCACTTACATCGGCAGCTATGAGTGGTGACCACATTCCAGAAGGAAGAGATTGAAAATGGCATTGACACCTTTCTTACGAGTTCCAGAGACACCATCTGACCCACCGATCGCACCCCCCGCTATTTTCCCGGGAGAAATGCACACAGACACGTTCACTCCAAAACCTGCATGTACGGAAGATTTATCCGTAATCGAAAGCTGAAGAAACAGCTCAAGGGCAGGGACTAGGAAACCTTGGGGAGCGTCTAAAGGGCTAGAGCATTTTTAGAAATAAACACAAAGTCAAACGCCTGGGTGGCTCAGTCAGTGGGCATCCAACTCTTGATTTTGGCTCAGGTCATGATCCCAGGGTCATGAGATTGAGCCTCAAGTCCGGTTCCACACTAGGTGTGGGGCTTGCTCAAGATTCTCTCTCTCTCTCTCTCTCTCTCTCTCCCCCCCCCCCCCCCCCGTCCCTCTCCCCCACTCGTGGTAATAAAAAAAAAAATTTAAGCAACTGAAATAAACACAGGGTCTCGGGACTGGGTTTTCAGGTTGAGTTGAGAGCAGGGGAAACAACCCGGAGGTTGGTGCCCCTACAGAGCAGACCAGTAGAGAACCTCTGTGACTGTATTTCTGTTTTATCCAGTCGTCTTTCCTCTCTGACTTCCGGGTCCCCCGTGTCAGGTGAGGTACCAGGGGTCCCTGTCACAAGTCAGGAGCCCTGTAGAGAGAGCCCTCCTTCTTTCGTACAAGTGCCTGAATGCTGCAACAAGCAGACTTTTGTAAAACTTTCTATTAGTTCCTAACGTCAACGGTGACTGGGTTCCTGGGGGCTACACCCAGCCTCGGACTTTTGTAAGAATTTTTGGGTGACTCACTCAGATGTCGTTTCCTTCTCACTCCCTTTTTTCCCTCTGTGTAATCTAAGCGCATTACCCATATTTGCAGGAAAAAAAAAATAAAACAAAAAAATAAAAGCTGAAGAAGCAAGTGTCCTACTGGTGTCGACCAGAGACGAACATACAACATATCCTACAAATCAGCGATTCTACTCGAAGATAAACACCCCAGAGAAATGCACACGTGCCGGCAAAGCCCGCGCACAGGTGCCCACAGAGCTCCAGATGCAGGGAAGGGAACGAATTGTAGCATATCTGTATAACAGACATTAAAATGCACAGGTAGGTAGGTAGACATTAAAACGCGCATAGCAGGGGGGGCTCAGCCAGTTGAGCGTCCGACTTCAGCTCAGGTCATGAGCTCACAGCTCGTGAGTTCGAGCCCCGCGTCAGGCTCTGTGCCGACAGCTCGGAGCCCGGAGCCTGCTCCGGATTCTGCGTCTCCCTCTCTCTCAGCCCCTGCCCTGCTCATGCTCTGTCTCTCTCAAAAAATTCAATTAAAAAAAATTTTTTTTTAATTTAAAATGCACATAGCAGGATGATTCTGTGTCCATAACGTCAACACAGAGGCACCACCCACGGACGGCCCTAGAGGTGAGAGGGTGGGCCGCCAGTGGAGGGGACAGTGTTGGCAAGGCTGTGTTCCTTGACTCGGGAGCTAGTTACCCGTGTGCGCTCACTTTCTCACAACCCGGCACGAGGACACCTAAGAGGGTGTTTCTTTGTATGTATGTCTTGCTTCGGCAAAATGTCCATTTTTGCTTAAAGGACCCGAGTTACTACAACCAGACAAACAAAAAAAGCCCCAGACCGACTTTTTTTAAATGGCATGGCTGTCGGACACTAAGCACACACATCCCCAAAGTGCCCGCTGGCCTCCTGCTGCGCTCCAGCCGAGGGCCACCCACGGAGGGGATGCCATGGCCAGACGAGAGTGGCTGTCCCAACCCCGCCAGGCCCTCAGGACGGGGGAACCACTTGCGGTTCTGTGCGTGCACGTGGGCCTCCGCCACTCAGCTGTGAGCTCCCCCTGGGCCAGTGAGTCTGGCCCACGTTTAAATGCTCTGACAGGGCCTCGTGCCCACCCCACAGCCGACTCGGGGACGGCTGAGTCACCTGGGTCCAAACACGTGCCTCGCCAGAGCCCTGCCACGGTGGCACCTCACCGACCGATTTCAAGGATGGCAGCCGGGACTTGCAGGCACGCAACCACACGTGTCCCGGGAGGCCGGGCCACGCCAGGCAAGTCACAGTGCACGCTGGGATCTGCAGCGCTTACACACAGATGGGCGCCGTGGGCTCTGGAGCAGCAGGTGCAGTGTGGCCTGTCACCTCGGCAGGCAGGGCCCCTGTCCTCCCGCCCACGTGTCTGTCAACAGATCAGTAACCCACATGGGAGCTCTTAAGGAATGCAGGCTGGTAGGCCCTGGGTGGGGGACCAAGAATCTCCAGGGGCACCTGGCTGGCTGGCTCAGTCGGTAGAATGTGCACTCTTGATCTTGGAGGCGTGAGTACGAGCCCCGGGTTGGGGCTCGAGCTGACTTTAAAAATAAATAGATTGGGGCGCCTGGGTGGCGCAGTCGGTTAAGCGTCCGACTTCGGCTCAGGTCGTGATCTCGCGGTCCGTGAGTTCGAGCCCCTCGTCGGGCTCTGGGCTGACCGCTCAGAGCCTGGAGCCTGTTTCGGATTCTGTGTCTCCCTCTCTCTGACCCTCCCCCGTTCACGCTCTGTCTCTCTCTGTCTCAAAAATATAAATAAAGGTTAAAAAAAAATTTTTTTTTTAATAAAAATAAAAATAAATAGATAAAGGGACACCTGGGTGGCTCAGGTCATGATCTCGCGGTCCGTGGGTTCGAGCCCCGCATCAGGCTCCACAGGGACAGTGCAAAGCCTGCTTGGGATCCTCTCCCTCCCTCTCCCTCTGCCCCTCCCTCACTCGTTCTCTCTCTCTCTCAAGATAAATAAATAAACATTAAAAAAAAATTAAATGCAGATTCAGGGGTGCCTGGCTG